TTTGGCAGAAAGTACTATCAAAACACCTACAAATATTTTGGAAAAAAAGAGAATTTCCCATTCCAAAACTTCTCCCCCTGTCAGGGTGAGTGAAGCAGGCAGGACCCAAATGCAGATTTCACAGACAATACCTTTCTTTCAAGGCTAAACTAGAACAAACAGACCACTACCTTGTGAACACAGTCCAACTACAACCAGGAACTTACAAAGACTAACAGAAAACACAGAACCTAAATGCACACAGGACTAATCAAACAAACAAGAGACAGGTGAGGAGGGAGGAGAAAACACAGGGGCACCAGGTGAACACAATCGGGTAATCAGATAGGAGGGAAAACAGACAGAAAGCAACGGGCAAGACAGGGGGTGAACACTTTTCAAAATAAAACAGGACACCAAAGACAGAAAAAGACAAGACACAACACAGACAGATCGTGACACCCCAACCTGTTTTCAGTTAAAAACATTGGAAAAATGATGACCAAAGTTAATATTTTTCGCTCATTGGCCTGTGAGATCTTCCATAATTGTTAGAAGAGCATATGTCTAACAAGTTCCCAATGTTTTTTCCCCCACAGATTTGGCTCCAAGGTCTATTCTCCGAGAACCGGAATCATTTTAAACAACGAGCTGTCGGACTTCTGTGGAAAAACAGATAACATATTTCCTGGTAAACAGATAAGCACGACACATTGCCTGTTTCCAGTTAATGATTGTTAAATGCAAAACATACTTATTTTGGCCTCTGTGAGGACATGTCTTACAGGCAAAAGATTGCACCCAATACATTTGTGTTTGTGTTAACAAAATATGAAACTAGGGAAAAATAGACAGTTTAGTGCTAAGAAAGCAAAGGTTTGCATGCTAACACGCTAGGATAATGAATGTTAAACCTCATACATGTGAAAAATGAGAATGTTATTGTGAGTGTGTTTAGCATGATAATGTTAACGTTAAAGTCTGAGCTCTGTTCCAAATTATTGGAATTTCTATAATGTCAAAACTACAACCCAGTAAAATTACAGTTGAACAGAAAAGTTTCAATCCTGTCGGATGCCAAGCTGCTGAACAAAGTCAAACGATTGAATAAATGCCATTCTCCCTCAATGCCCACTCGTGATCCACATCATTCAAAGACTCTGATTGCATTTATAATAATTTCCTTCTTGTTCCTCTCACATTGATGAGTCTGAATTGAAAGCGTGTGTCCTGTCAGTCAAGGCTTTGGTTGTGTTGTCAGGGGAGCAGCCTCCATCCTCCATGGCCCCCGCTGTGCTGACGTCTCCGTCCAGGACGCTGGTGATTGGATCGACAGGCGGGAGCATGATCACCACTGGGATGGCCTCGGTACAATCACACTAAGTGCTATTAAGATAAATGGCTGCACACTAATGCCCCTCACTCTTGTCACAGCAAGTGCTGTCTTCGGGAGTGTCTTTCCAACGCTTGTAATCCATTCTGTGCTCATCAATTTCTCATCTTGCAGATTGTAAAGTATTGTTCTGCTTTTTCTTCCAGACACTCATGAACTACCTCTGGTTTGGGAAGAGCCTAAAGGAAGCGATTGCTTCTCCGGTTTTTTATGTCAACTCTTTCAATTCAGCAAAGTTTGAACCCCACTTTGATCAGGTAATACATTCTATACATTTTAACTACGTTTTGGATTTGTTAGTTAACTCACACCTTCATTCAAAATCCTACTCGATAGACGATCAAGTGTTACATAATGATGTCATCATGTTACGGAGGTAAACAAAGGAGTCCAATGGACGCGTTTCAGGCAGGGGTGGAGTGTGTGGGAGAGACACTCCCTCTGGAGGAAACTTTGGGATTTTTACCTTTACAGACCATTTACATGCACTAAAACCTATATAACCCCCCAAAAGAATAATAGGGCCCAATACAAATGTACTTAAAGTATTTAAAGTAAAAGTAGACATCTCATTTTGCAGAATGCAATTTATAAAATATCAGTGAACTATAATTAATAATACATTAATCAGATCAGAATCTGAAATCCTTTATTATTCCCACAGTGGGGAGATTAACGGTGTAATTCAATATTGCAGCTAATAAAGATGGATATAACTGTGCTATATAAACGGCTGATTACCTTTCAAAATGCATCATAATTTATTTATACATTTATATTTTATGATCCTAGTTATCTGAATCATAAAAATAAACAAATATTGTTGTGAAAAAAGAATAATATTAAAAAAAAGTTGAGTGGAATTTAAAAAAGCATAAAATAGAAATAGTAAAGTAAAGTACCTCCTTGAGCACAGCACTTGAGTACTTGGTTGCATCATAGTCCCCTCTCCTATTCCCCTTTCAGGAAGTAATCGAGGCTCTGAAGGCTCTGGGACAAAAACAGTACGAAGGGAAGGTTTTCTACAACGTGGTGAATGCGGTGGAGAAGAAAGATGGCTGCATCTGCGCCGTGTCTGACGCCAGGAAGATGGGCGAGGCCGCCGGCTACTGAGACCAGGAGCCGCTGACATTGGTTAGGCAGGAGAGCCTGAAGGTCATGGAGCCCTTCTGCAACACAGATGGTGTTAAATCATCGAACACCAGGCCTCTGCAGATGAACTTGGTGTGTGAACATAACTGACTGTAACGGTGACATGATGGATTTGACCGTCATCGAAGAAACAACCGTGACTGAATGTGACCTCTTGTGAATCAGCTTATTCGTACACATCGTCCCACTTATGTCATTAGTTGTGTCTTTCTACTGTAAACATATTTGCATTCCATTTTTAAACATCTTGCAAATTAGATTCATGTCAGAGATACAAAATACTTTTCCAGACCACATTTTATTTAATATACAGCAAATGAAATACAGTTATAGGTATGATAATGAAGTAAAGCTTTTTTTCTCCATGTTTTATATTCTATTATAACTTTTATATTTTAAAACACTGAGGAACTTCCTGAAAGCTGATTATTTAGATGCAAAGATATCAGTTATTATCCATACCTCAATGAGCAATTTCACAAATAAGCTAAAACCCTTTAGATTTATTCTTAAAAACGTTTTATGTGTGGGTGATATAATCTCTCGCAATTCTTGAGTTTGACACGATAATAGCTGAAGAGGTGCAATGAATGAACTTGTTGATAAAGGTGTTGCAAAGAGAATGTATAAACTAAAAGATATGTACAAATATTTAGTTTTTGGTGTTGCATTTATATGGTAATAAATTAAAGGAAAATAACTTGTGAATCAAAACAATCAATAGAACACCAAAATGGCCCTCATCTGGCTTTTAACCCTGAGGTCACTGCTTTTTAATTTTGTCTATGCACCGCTCCGTGCCATAATGTATTCTGAAAAACCTGCGTGACTTCTCTGTGCTGGTTTTAATCAATTATTTTGTGCCTGAGCATGCAGCAGCTGGAGCAAGATAATCAGAACAAATAGTGACTAACAGCAGAACCATTTCCAGTGGGAAAGTTTGTGAAGAAATATAAATATTAAGCCTCTGTGTAGCGGCCAAAATCATAGTTAAAAGTATCATTGCTGCTGAGGCACCAGATAGCGAATCTTACTCAGGGAATGATCCAAGTCCAGACAAAATCGTCAGTTCTGTGCATTTTATTTCCATGATCCAATATCGCAAAGGTACAATGAAAAGGTGTATTTTCCTTAAGCCTTTCCTATGATTTTCTTTCTTTCTTGCTTGAATAACCCTGGTAGAAAACGATATGCTTACTAGTGCTCTGGCTTTCACCACTACCTGTCTCCAATATATACAATTACAACAGGTGCCCTAATAACCCAGTGCCCAAAGATGCCTTCAAAATAAAAGCATAAAAGTACTTTAACTAACTACAATAACATCACTAAATAATAGAACATTTACTATACACAGAAACAACAAGAAAACAAATGTTAAACTTTTAAATAATATATAGCTCCAACACTCTGTACAAAGGCACATATAGGGAATGCCTTCAATTCACACATTAAAGTGAAATAAATATATTTCAGTTTTTCTTATTTCCTTCAACATCTCGGGAACATATTAACCCTGAAGGAGAAGGTCAGATGTGATCCGGGTTATTTTTAAGGGTGTGCTTCGTGCCCTCTCACATGGTATTTGGACCTCAGGGGGTGTGACAGTCACACTGTGCTCTGACCTTATAGGAGCCACCTGTAGCAAATGTCACATTACCATGACTGACAGCAGAAACAAAAGGTAGCCAGGAGAGCATTACGGGTAGATGACCGCACTGCCTTTCCCTGGAACAGAGGCAGCCCTTTTGTTGACAGCACACAGTGGTGGAGAAAGTATTCAGAAATGGCCCTTAAAGATTAGCAGTACATATACTCTGTAACAAGTAAAAGTATTTTATGCAAAAGCATTAGGATCAAAATGTACCAAAACTAAAAGTAGTCGTTTTGCAGAATGGCCTATTACAGAACCATGTATTAAATGATTCTGTTATAAGTGATGCATTAATGTGTTCATCACCTTGTGTTTAAATTGGTAAAGACAGGGTTTATTTGAATTAATATATATATATACTGCCTGGTATATTAACCTAATTATAGATAATAATGTATTATTTGATGTACATGTTTTATTAATATTCCAAATCTGCAAAGTAATTAAGGTATTAGAGCTACACTACACCCTTTTCCTCCACAATGAATTGCAGTAGAAGTATAAAATAAAAAAGTAAAAATTCTCCATTACAAATACCTCAAATGTTTACTAAAGTATAGTACTTGAAGTGTACTTAAATGTACTAAATTACGGTCTGGCACTGACAGCACACATATGACCTTCTGGCTCACAAACAACTAAATAACTTTCTACGTCAGCATGCTTTGAGCCTTTTCTTTTATTCATCTATTTGCAGACTAATCTGCATAAAATAAACCCTCAGTTTCTTTCAGTAGATGCAGGTTCTGCTAGTGACCCAGTTACTTCAATTCACTCTTTTTACACTGTGGAGATCTGCAAAATGAAACAAATCCAGACTTCTGAGTTGAGATTGGTTCTTTTATTGGCAGTCAGTGTTTGGCATGAGACAAGAACACACAGGCTACAAGAAGAGTTTGACACACGGGAACATAAAATACTAAACAAAGTGGACAGTGCTTTCCATCATTCAAATTTCACATTCGATTTGAAAGTTCTCTGCATTTACTGATCTATTTCATTTTATTGTGTAATCCCATCAGCCACGTCCCTTTTTTTGTTTGCCCTGCAAGCTTACAGCTGGAGGTCAGTTTCATATTAAGAGTCATTATTATAATTACAGAGTCAGACAAAAGACGAAACACTAAAACAACAACACAAATAATTACATCAGTAATCAGACATTTTACTGTTACACACACATATAACACACACTTAAACATTTATTATATATCTGGTGATTTTTCTATGATCATTCTAACAATCAATAGCCATTTGGTCATCATTTCACCCTTAAAAGAGGTTTTGCGTTCAGCTTCGTACATACAAACAATGCACACAGAGGTTATGCTATGGAGAAACAGAAATATAAAGAAAAAAGTATCCTTAAAGTGCTTTCAGTCAGTCTAACTTCATCATTATGTGCTACTGTAGACGAACTATAACCGATATTTAACAGTCATGCTTGTGTCTTATAAGAAACGCAGAGCCACTGAAGTACGGTGTCAATAAATGGAAATGACTACATATTTGAAGAGACAAACGGCAGTAGGACCAATAGCACTGCTCAAACTAGCTGGCCCACATAAACACTTGGCTGTGGTGTCATAAACGCACTGAAAACACTGTGGTGATAGCTACATCAGCTCAGTAAGACCAATATCAGCATTTAGGCTAGTATAAAAACAAGCAGTGACAGCTATCCTACCTGTTGTCTTCTAAGATTGCTTTGTTCACCAAAAGTGCACAAAAATAGCCCGTGTAAACACAAGAGAACCATGTTTTGTGCCCTCATTTACATCTACACAAGGGCTGCGTGGGTATTCACAAGTGGACATTTGGAAAGGGGGGGAATACGCGAAAAGTCTTGACATAGCAGTTTTGCTGGCGTCACGTGACGGGTCGTCGGCTGTATAGTCTGTTGAACTTGTGTCATAGCTTTTGTTGAGAGATTAACAGAGAACACACAATGTGGAGCTAGGCTCTGCCTGCCAGAGATAGCCTCAGTCCTGGTAGAGAACCCACAGGGACCCTCTGTTTCCAAACTAACTCCAGCTCCACTTTTAGCCACCGCCGGGATGCTGCTCATCCATACAACCAACTGAACTAAATCTCCTTGGGATTGGCTCCTCACTATCAGAGAGAGAACGAGAGAAAGAGAGAGGGGGAGAGAGAGGGAGAGAGAGAGAGAGAGAGAGAGAGAGAGAGAGAGCACCGCTTCATTAACTCTTCCAGCCCCCCTCCAATGAATCCGCACCTCGTTCCCAAGAGCACCATCCACCAACACAGTAAGTCCACCGTCGTCACTTTCTTCTTGTGTGCATTAACTCAGAGATGGTTAGGGATAGCTTGGTAGCTTTGTCGGGACGAGAAGTTCACAATGTGGGCACGTGTCGCCCTCGTGCCTCGAAGGGTGACAGGGCTCGTGGTGTGAGGGCAAGAGGGCAAAGGAGGTAACAGAGTGCTGTGGGACGCATTTCGACCCCCGTTGAAAGAGCCTCGAAGTGGGAAAGCCCGATCACCTCTCACAGTAGTGGATGGTGAAGTCTTTGGAGAGCTGCTTTTCTCCTAAACTCCACTGCTCCAGCTCAAATTTGTCATCCTCGTCTTCCACTTCCACCTCCTCCTCCTCCTCCTCCTCCTCGTAGTGGCTGGGCTCCTCGATGGAGGTCTCCAGGTGGTAGCAGTAGGGTTGCCCCTCTGTGTACTCGTAGATAGTCGGTAGGCTGCTCTTGAGGCTGCAGCGCCGACGCAACGCCACCAGCAGCGGCTGCGGCATGGTGAAAATATCCACGTTGTTGCCGAGGTCGATCCAGGCCAGGCTGGAGAACATCTTGGGGTCTTTGAGCATCTCTGTGAGGTCTTTGAGGATGACCAGGGTGAGGCGGTTACCGTTCAGAGCCAGGGTGCTGAGTTTGGGCAGCACGGCGAGCAGAGGCAGGAGAATCTTCAGGTTGTCGTCCTGGAGGTCGGTGAAGCTGATGTCCACAGCCACCACGCTGTCTCGGTTGTTTTGGAGATAGAACAAGACTTGGCGGACGTCGCGGGTGGACAGGGGGATGCCTGACAGGTCGACGCAGTCCCCGGAGAGCTTTTTCTGCAGGGTTGTCTTGAGACTGTTAGTGACAAAGAAGAGAAAAATAGTTGGATTACTTAGATGGAAATACAGAAACTAGTTTAAGAATTGGCTGGAGGGTGAAAGGATGTAACTGGGGAACAAGGCCCTGGTTTGATGTTGTGTTTCCTGTGCTGTATAAAGGAGGGGTGACAGGGCCGGCATGGAGCGGAAGGCTGACGTAGAGACTCCAGCATGGGGATTTACTTGTGTAAACAGAAGAGCCAAAACATCCGAATGAGCCAACAGCTTGAGCCCAAAACTCTGACGGCCGGGAGCACAGAGCTCCGTACAGCACAGGGCCAGGACAGAGTGCTGCTTTAAAGATAAACTATGATGTGTTTTAGAGAAAGATAAAACTTGAATTGAAGTTACTTGTCCCGTTTATTTATAAGACTGGAAAGGAACGTTTTGGAAATGCGTTCTTAGGATTATGCTTTTATCTCCAGCAAAGAAGCCATGGTTGCTATAATGCATTTTTCAAAGCTACTGAGAAAAACCTGAAGAAAACATTTGGTGAAATTTGGGGAAAAATATGTTTTGTTTGTATCTGAAGTGCAGATGCAAGAAGTATTTCCCTAATATAGTGTTTGAACGCTTTTTCTCTTGCTTGCTTGACATATGTTGTTTTCCAGGTGCAATTGTTATTAAAAACCTTTAAAGGGCAAAGGTTTCTCCTATAAGGCTGTTTTCTTTTATTTCAGATGACTTTATTGTCCACTAGATTTGCATATCATTGAAATGTGTCTTTGGATCTGCATTTGAGACAACACACACATGAAACACAACAACACACGACAAGTATGCATCTTACAATAACTTTGCGTGACCAAGTTACATTAATAAATGTGCTGAGTGTATTGTTTTTTCCGCTGGCATGTCGGCCCATCAACATCAAGTACAGTGCCTGAACTTTAAACAATAAATACATACATTTTCAATTAAAATAAGGGGTGGTGTTGGTTTCTGAAAGTCCTTAAACCAACCTTCTTGGTAGTATATGGAGGTTATTTATAAAGAAAATGACAATAAAATAAGCATTATTCTATATGTAGGAAGGGAATAATATGTGCAAGACATCTGTTTGTTTTGGCTCTCACATCACACACCTTTGAAACCACAAAGCTCTTCAGGATATCGTGTAATACAAGCAGGACTTGAGGCTCAATGTGAACACAATTGATACCTTTCTGTAGTTATCTCTTCACATTGCTGCTGAAAGGATGTGTGCATTATTTACACACTTCTTTGCCCTTTTGTTTCCAGTCAGCCACTCTCCTGTCCCCGAGAGAATGCAATATGTCTAACTTGAGCTGTTTCTGAAGAGGCCCGTAACACTGACTCAGTGTCAGAATGAATTATAACATCCTACGGCGCCCAGTGACTTACTCTGACATTCATCTCGGCGCGTGGCACTTGTCATGTTTTAGAGTGTTTTTTGGTACTGAAAATGGATGTGCCCTGAGCGGCATTTACTGCTTCATTTGAGAAGTAGTTGATGGGTTGATGAGAAGAGGCTTTGGAGCATTAGTAATTGCAAAACAGGAAAAAAAAAAACGAGTATAAAACCCACTCATGAAGCCAGACAATGAGGGAGTCTAATCATCGGTTGAGCACAAACTCTATGAGATCAAGTCATTTATCTGCCGTATCTTTTCAAAGTCTTGTGAGCCCCAGTCCTCCCACTCTCTATTGTCTGCCCTCTTTATATAACAAATCCCTCATTTTTTACAGAGTAACAAAAGTCCTAATGGCCGCTGAGGCTCCTCTGCAGGTGTGAATAGGTTTTGATCACACAACTCCTTCCTTTGTCAGACAGACTCAGCCTTTGGAGCTCAGGTAAAAATGGATGTCTGAGTCGTCCTCTCCGGAAGCCTCTTTCATCCTTCCTCCAGATCAATGTGACAGAAAACAAAGCTGTCGCTGATAACTTCCAGCAGACAGCTTTCTGTCGTCTCCATGCCCTCGAGAACACTGTCACTAGGGTTCAGTTTAAATGACAGAACTTGTTTGGAGGTAAGCGATTAAAAGAGATTAAAAAAGCAATCATTCAGAGGTGTGCTTTTTCTCGACTAGGAACAAATCACTTTCGTCGCATGTTGCCTAGGAGATGTCCAAAGCAGCAGGCAGAAAGAAATAATCCCTATATGCACCACAGTATTGAATTGATGCATTTCCTTTGTTTTTTGAACAAACCTAACCTTTTCAAGCTTATAAAAAATACAAATAAATAATTGAAACTAGCCTTAGTCCAAAAATGGCTCCAATGTTAGTCAATAGTGGTGGTTCATCAATTTACATGCACAATCAAGTCTAATATATAACAATTAAGTATCTGTTAAGTAATCAATTAAATTGACATTGTATAAAGAAGCTTACTCTTAATTACCACTTAAAGAGTGATGAAGCACGGTGTGTCCCTCGTCTTCACATGTGGCTCATCAGTCTCCGTGTGTCATTGATTTAATATAATGAGGCAGCATTCGAATTCAGTCTGCGTAAATGGAAACGCTGTTCATATTTATTAACATTAATATTCATGTCTGGAGGGTTAGCTGATGCTATAACTAAGATGAGGTGAATTGCTATTTATAAAAAGGAGAACATAATGTTTAAAATCTGTTTAGAATCAGAATACCTTTATTAGTCCCACAGAGGAAAAATGTGCAGCGTCACAGCAGGAAAGAGCCACAGACAGCTTAGTGTTGCATATCTTAAATGCGTTAAAAAAAGTACTAAGTTATAATATAATAAACAAACAACACAACAATATGCTAAAAAAGTACTAAGTTATAATATAATAAACAATATGCTAAAAAAAATAGAAAGATACAAAAATAAAAAGTAAAGAAAAACATAAGTACATGTTAACAAGATGCATCTGTTAAAAAAAAAAACATTTTATTTGAACTTTGAAGTATTTCACAGGAGTTCATTTTCTCCTCGCTCTCCCTCTGGCTATTTTTGAATTGCTCTTCCGTTTTGTTTTCTGCAGAGTCATTTACAGTTTGGCTTTGTTCTATAATTCATACCGGCCCCCTGATGGCTGAAACTGCACAGAGAGACACAAGATGAGCAGACGAATCACATCTGCTCACTGACATTTCATTTATATTTTCAATTCTGATGCGTTATATTCCCAAGACGATACAGGAGCAGGCAAACACAGACACACACTATGGCATTGTCCTTCACGGTGCGGGAATCCAACCTCACAGCTAACAGTCCATATCCATAAAAGCATATCCTGCACAAAGATACTACCCCCCAATTCTTTTAGTTTGATGGATGTTTTGGTCAAAAACCCAAGCTGAGGAGCTGCTTTGCCCTTTCTGTATCTTATTGTGTATTTTCCTGGCATACTGAAGCTGAATCACTCAGTAATAATGACTGATGGGTCCCTTGGCAATCTTTAACAGGTGTACTATGCTACAATGCACAATGTAAGGTTTCATGGTGAATATGAGATCAGGTGTAAAAACAGAAATGTTATGATGCTGGCAATGAAGATAAGAGATGTGAAAACTATAAAGCCAGCGGCAGCAGAATGGTAGTTTCTGTTCTTTCTGAGAATTAAGGTAACAAAAGAACAGAGTGAATGAGAGGTCAAACAAGGCTGATGGAACAGGAAGATTGCGGTGTGAAAATTGAAAGAAAAAGGTCACTAAAGTGTTTTACGCTCACACAAAATTACCCGTAAGGTTGGAGCGCCTTTGCAGCATTTTTTAGGTCACTGCTTCTATCAAGCTGGTGGTCAAGATCTTATTAAATGGGGAAAAAAGGAAGAAAAACATTTCTAGCAAAAGCAAAATAAACTAGTTAGATAGATTAAAAGGATTATTGCGATTCAGACAATAATTCAGTGTGGCATTTCAGTCAGAAATGTGTGTACACCAATTGGACAGACCGGTGTGCAGGGCTAATGCTGGATAATGAAGGGATGAACAATCCGGTGGCATTAAAATGGACTGAGCCCTCTCTGTTTCCCCTGGGTACAGAGAGACCTCTCAGAGGTGAGATTGCTGCATTTTTGCACAGATGAGGGCAGTTTGCCTGCAGCTGAACAAAGAAGCAAGTTAAAGAGAAGGAAAATCCACCCTTAAACAATGTCTATAACATTCCTTCATTTTGAATTTGGACACTTTTATTCTTATTTGATGAGCGACTATATCATAATATTGGGAAATACACTTAACTTCTCTAATGCAGAAAGTTAGATGAAAAGATGGATGCTACTCTCATGTCTATGAAGCCAGGAGAAATGTAGCTTAGCTTAGCATATCAAATGGTTACAGAGGGAAAATGCTAGCTCTGACTGATTGAAAATATTTTACAAGAGATATAATATTTCCGATTTAAAGAGCTTTAGATTGTGGTACCTTTGGACAGAGCAAGGCTAATTTCTCCTGTATTCCTTTTAAGATAGACTAGCCCACAGCAGGCTTTCCCTTCATATTCACATAGAACCATGAGATTGGGATTGATCCTATTTTACATGTGACATTAAACAAATAAGCGTATCTCTATAACAACCCCCAAAGTCATTAGTCTACACTACAGTAAGTGAGCTCAACACATGTTTTTAATATCAACTTGCAAACTGTGTATGCAGAACATATTTGTGCCAGAATTTAAATAATTACCTATAAAAGACAATACAAAAAAGTATCTTGAGAAATTGAGTTGTCTATCCAAAGAAAGTGTCAGCCTGCCCTTGTCTCATGTCTTTGTATCTGACAGGCATTTGTGTGTGAACACTGCAGCAGACGAAGCTGTCGGGCTCACAGCATCTACTGTATTAATATTCTGTTTTAAGGGTGGATTTTTGTTTCAATGATTCATGTTGCTTCTGCTGTCTCAGTCAGTGTCAGACAGTCTCTCTCTCTCTGCAGCTTTAGGAAAACACCATGACTAAATAAAGAAACTCCTTTTCTAGGAATTTAACGTTCAAATGTTTCTGCACATTTTTCGGAGATACTGTCAGTTAAATCTTGTGTATTTCCTTTTCTGGGGCGCATTAAACTTCCACGAGCACAACAAAGCCCTGCCTGTGCAGCTCCACGGTGAAGGGTCTGATCCTTCGAATACGTCTTTTCCCTTTCCTCTGATACTGCGTGTTGATACCTCTGACTGACTCATAATGAACCTGTCTCATCTCACTGTGTTCCCATTGTCGCCGTCTCAATGCTGGGGTTATTTTCACCATCGGAAAATGAATTCATTATTTGCAGAGTCTAGCCAGCTGTTGAATAAGCAATTACATGAGCAAGAATTACTGTAGGGCTTATAAAGAGGATTACTAATAAACACCTGAGCACACAAAAAAGATCCTATTTGTACATAAGCCAATTCTCTATTCATCATTTGCACATCAAAAGCAATTCAGTCTTTCATCAAGACGATGTATTATAACATTATTAAATCCCTGCTTTTCTTCAGCGAGCAGACGGACAGATTTGTAGCTGTGCCGCTTTTGGAGAGAGAGAAGGCAGTAGAAAACGCTAACACGGACCTCGGCACTTAAAAGAGAAAGATGATTGACAGCTGTGGTTACTACGGAGTTCCCATCAGGTCAGCCTGTGGCAAGCGCCGTCCTAGCTCAATGTCAGCTACAAAGATGGAAACCTCTACAGCCCTGCTCTCTGTGGTGCGGAGCTGCAGATTTATTACAGACTGGACTTCAGGACAGAAGGGCTTACCAGGCCTGGGATTTCCGTCTGGACATGGTCTGCCTCAGCCACTTTGAGTGCGGGGTCAGGTGGTAGATCAGCTGTCTGCAAATCTTATCTGAAGACTTTATGGTGTCTGCATCCTGTAGCACAGAGCAGAGAGGTCATATTAATAATGACAAGCAGGACCAAAAGTAGTGACGCAGCAGATTTCTATAACAGATGTTCTGCCTGTGTGTTCCAAGAGAAATTATCATCTCACATTATCTTGGCTTTAAGTTTCCTACATCTTATAACATTTACCAACCTTATCAACAGTGTAGGATATTTGTTAGCATTTGTGATACGTTGAGCTACTCCTGAACAAAACACAATTAGGCTGCTTAGCTGGAGCAAGAAAAATCTAATCACATGCAGTGTGCATCGGTGGGGGAAAAAACACAGGAAGTGCACAGGAGAGGTGAGATGCAACGCAGTCACCGGGAAACACTTTCAATTTCAGTTTATTAGCCATGTTGTGGCTGCTGGGGGCCATGAGCTTCATTTAAAAATAATCCAGTATTCACGGATGAGCTATGACTTCCTTCCGTACAACCCAGCATATTTATTTAGTTAAAGATATTTCATTTGATTCCTTTTCCTTATGTAAATATAGCAAATATTAAGTAGCAAATCCATTTGAATTAAGTTTTAGATCTCAAGACATACAGTAGTTACATGAAATTGCATTGAAAGAAAATGTAACCACTATACAAATCTAGGATTCATATTAAAAACCGCTTTTCCTATTTCTACAGCTCATAAGAAGCACATGTCTGAAGGATTTCTTTCATCCGTCTGTTGAAACTTGAGTCGATGACATCCTCAGATTGGATTTCCATTGATCTTGAGAACTTACTACTTAACAAAAGGAAACCATCATTGGATTATTTTTTAGGAGAATGCTTTTGCAGAATACTAACATCAAACTGGATCTCAGTTGATATTCGCTGCATGGTTCAAAGAAAGGAGGAGTAAAGCAAGCTCACCTTCTTAGGACATTGCATCTCTCGAGCCAGGCTGAGCAGCAGCTCGTGTGAGATAGGGTCCACCAGGTTGAGGAAGGCCGCATTTTTGTATAAGATGTCGTTGAGCGAGGTGCCTTCCAAACCAAGATCCTAGCAAAGCAGACAAGATGGGATGTATCACAATCACACCAAAATGGAATTGTAAACAAAAACATTGTGCTATAATTTCAATCAGCTATCTAAACATGTGACTTTCGACCTGAGGGAAAAAAATGCATTAGTGTTGGGAGCAGGGCACAGCTGTGTCAAGGGCAATGTGAAGTGGAAATGGAAAGATAAAAGAAGTGTTTTGTTTTAAATATTCATTACAAACGAGAGGAGATTTCTCATCTAGTGAAGGAAAGTGAGATCTGGAGGGCCTCACAGGAAAAGCTGTGTTTTGGCACAACATCTTGGCACTAAGCCACACGTTTCCAGGCATGCCACAGCACGTACAGTCTGCAGAAACACACAACTCCTTGAAAACCTTGTAGATTTTGGTTATTTGTGATGTCAGCTCCAGAAATATGCCTGACTTACTATGAGATGAGGATATCCTTGTATACAAGCCATCAAGAAGAAACATCTAAAATGCATGAAATTCAGTACCGTATGTTATTTTTTAACACAAATATATTTCTCTAAACACATCCCATTTATTTTTCTTGGTTTATAATCCTTTTTACTTCATAGGAATATGGCATTGGCACAATTCGATGTAAGATGTTGAGTGAATGTGATTATATCTGCAAAGAGGTCAAAAAAGACAGCTATCATCATCATGTAAGCTTACTCATAATTACGACGAATCCAAAAGGCTATGGAATAATAAATAGAAATCACAACAGCTGGAATAAAAAATAAATTTCAGATGACCTTTTAAATGCGGTGAGACAACTGTGTGTACTGAAATGCAAAAACACACTTCATCAACACATCCACCATCCAGGTCTTACGAGGGAATCTATATGCGGAGCTCTTGTACAGCCGTGCACCTTTAATGAGAGAAGTAAGCCACATACTGTGTGCACACACCTGCACACGCACGCACACATTTCCTTTCTCTCCGACACAATCTGCATTGATTGTAATAGACAGTTTGAGTGGGAGGCTGGCAGCTTCACATTACTGGCTCCCCTCTTAACAAGGGCAACAGTAAACACAGACTGCTTCTGCCCTTCTGAAAAACAAGGTTCAAAAATATCTCCCCTCGGAGTTTAGACACGATCAATTGTAATGTGCGAGCGCAGCGGGAAGCCATGAATCCTCATATCTGCAGCAGACCTCAGATCTTTTTCACATCTAGAGCAGGGCTCACTGTTACACTCACCAATTAAATCTGCCACAAACTCCTTTTGAATTCACAGAAGAAAATCTTTCAGATATCTGCCTGCAATGCTGCAAGTAGCCTATATATAAAGGCTTATATAATGAAAGTGTAGCTCATTTAGAGCACATATCCCCTGTGACATTGCTGTCGTGAAGCCTATAGGCCGACCAGGTTATCTCCTCGTCTTGATTAAGGACGTTCCACTCTCTCCTGTGTCATGGCTTCACAGTAATTAACGCTGGATTTGCTGACAGCTGAAAGAAAGAGGGGGCCTTGAGGGTAGGCAAACTAATTAGATTTCCAAGGCTGCTGCTACATCTTCCATGCACCTACACATTGTTTTTAATGATATCCCACAGCAGGTGAGAAAAGCCTTTGAAAACAGGCCTTTGATTGAGATGTAACATCCTTTATTCAGGAGCTGGACTTAACATATTCCTGGTCATGAAAACAACAATGCCTGCTTGTTAGTATTGTCACGGCCAAGTGAAGACTGCATCGTATTTACTGCAACAAAAGCTTTTTGAAAAACAATAAAAACAGCTTTGTTGTTTTGGGTATTTGGGGTGTATATGTTTTCATCAGCTAACAAGCAAAAATAAATCGTTAGTAATCCTTGGTTTACAGGTTATCACATCACCAAAGAGGTGTGCACAACACAGACTTCAATAAAGCGGTGTACATTTTCATTTCTCTGACCTTTTTTTTTATAGAGTTAATAAAACCTTTTGGGGAAGAATAATATTGTGTATCCTGAAACACAGGACTCCAGGGCTCACATTGTTAACGCTTGAGCACAGGCCATTACAGAGAGACACATTAGGAGCGGAGAGGGATGGAGGGGGCAGGTCTCTCTAATGGGAGCCGGAGAAACAGCCTGAGGGGAGGCGAGACTGTCCGTATTCCATGAAATATGGACATATGTAGGGAGGCTTGTGAAGAGGAGGGGGATGGTTACATTTGTGTGTGTAGAATCTATATCCATATATATTACCATAACCCATCCAAAGAAAATGACATTTGGAATAATGTAATGACACTGTGTGACCATTTCCTCTTTTATAGTGTTAGTAGTTCTGTCAAATGAAATGTCAACACGGAGCACGTCCACACCATAGACTGGTCCACACACAGTGAGAGTGTGTGGTGAGTCACAGCTGTCTGAAAACAAACGTGTCACTGGTTCAATGCTCTGCCAGTGGCCTACTTTCTATACAGAAATGCTTCTGTCCATTAAGTGGAAGAAGTACAGTACAGTAGGCTCACCTGGAGGTGGGGTGAGGTTTTAGGTCAGATGTCAGGGGTTCAGAGGGGGTTAAGCGTGGCACTACAAGATTCAGAGGAAATCACGACAGTGCATTCAAAACACACAAGCAGCTCCTGCTTGTTCTCCATATGTTGCTCTGGCCTCTGGGATGTTTTCAGGATGTATGGCTGTGTGCGCATCAAAGCAGGCTGAAACCAGTAGTGCAGAATGTAAACAGGTCTGACTTTCCTGCACTCAGGCCAGGCTACGTGCAGTTTCCACTTACCTTCCTCAGTAATTTGAGCACGTCAGTTGCCTGCTCTATCCTGCGGTCACGGAGCAGCTTCTGGATCTCTTTGATCCACGCCACACGCCTGATGTACGGGCTGTGGTTGGTCCTCCGCAGCATCCCGGGCAGTTTGTCTGATTTCAGCATCAGTGCAAACAGAAAGTCCCCCCCGCCGCCTCGGCTGACCCTGTCGCTCTCTCCGGTGCTTTCCTGAAGCTTGCGTCTCTTTTTGGAGAAATTCTCATTGTCCAGGCTGCTCTGCCTGCTCAGTCTGGAACCCATGGTGTTGTTGTCGCTACAGATGCAGGCGGTGTGTGTCGCAGCTCAGACGATATTACAAAGAGGATAAACCCATGATCAGCCTCTGTGTTTGGATGGTAGAGAACAGCGTCGTGTTGTCTGGCGCTGCGTAGCTGTCTGGATCCGGTGCACACACTATCCCTCGACAGTCTAATTGATCACTTCTCTCCCATGCAACCGCTACACTATTTTTTTATTTTTACCTCCACCGCGGGCTATCAGGCTCAGATGCTGAGGATGCTCCGGTGTCTTCATCCTCCGGCCGTGCCTGCTTCACACTGCTGTTTAGATTTCAGTAACGTGGAGCGTCCGACCAATCGCATCATCTGGTGCCCACTACACTACGAGTCTCTCCTCCACAGGGCCGGCCCTAGACTTTTGGGAGCCCTACCTAAGCGAGCTTTGGCTCGTGGGACCCCCTCACTCTAGCGCATTACTCACTACACACAACACGGGACCAACTTTTGTCTTATGATGTTAGCATAAGCACACATATTGTATAAATAAGCATGTAAACACCGTGGACCTAACCTCCTCTAGGGGGGTCCGGGGGCATGCTCCTCCGGGAAGAATTGTTTTTAAATATTGAAGTTAAAACCATCAATCTGGTGCACTTTGAGAGCAAAATTAAGAGATCTATGGATACATCTTTCAACACCCATATGAAACAGAACTGTAACATATTTTTCTTTATGGATATTTTACAAATCACTCCCCTTTTAAACTGTATTCTTGTTTTGTCATATAGTATTTCATAACTGTTTTTCATGTATTCTCTCTGGCCTGTCCCATCTCATAATGTTCACATAGAAACTAGCCTGTTCAATAGGAATATCATCAGAAGAATTATAATTTCATGCAAAAATCTGTCACAAAAAAGAGGTTGCACATTTAAATTCAGGTGTCTGTTATGGCAACGTCAGTGCCAAACAGCCACATTTAATGCCTGCAAATACGTTCAAACACTGCTGTTCGACACGTAAAGCAGGTGGCAAACTTATGCCACCATTTCAGCTGACCTTTCTCAGAAATATTCGTCACATAACAATCCATAGCATTATCAGTGCTAGGTTGTGCTAAGGCTAACTATGAAACACTTTTACTGGGACAGGACTCAGGTCAGTGCACGCTGTACTTTTTTCGTAAGGTAGTTGTTATATGCCATTGCGGTGCAATACACTTAAACTTTCACACTGTGCCCCTCTGCATCCATGAATTACACGCGCTGGTCTAGGTGTGTATGCTTCGATTGTCGTAATTACAACGACGCACCAACATCTCCAATGTGCTTCACCCGCTCAATCAATTGCTGGTCTCCTAGGGTTTATCTGGGCCTTTCCACCTGCTGGGGACTCGACATCAGATGAAACAGGGAAACATCAGCGTAGAGTGACCTCTTGTAGGTATAGTAAAGCAAGGGCTTTTTAGTCCAAATACACCTTCCTCCCTTTTACACAAGCATGAATGTCTCGGTATTTCATTCTGGCCAGGTGTCAGACTGGATAGCTTGGTGGTTTCTTAAGATGCCTTTTACCACAGCTATTGCAGGTACCTATTAGTTGAAGGGAGGGGAAATCAAAGCATAATCACTTTATTTAACCAAACACATGAACAGGATCAGATTTGGACAAAGCTATCTGTAATCTGGACGGGAGGGAGGCGTGGACAGGGACCGAAATCGAACATTATGACTATGGGGTGAATTGGATAATGGACTATACTGCTTGTATCTGATCTTTGTTTTAACCACTACTCCTGGGACGAAGAAGCAACTCACAGATGGGACCAGGCTAGTCTGTGAATCTGACGGAGAGGCGAGGCGACAGGCGACCTGAAACGAGGGGATGAAGGCCTATGGTGGGGCGAAGTTGGATAACGGACTGATAGCTCTTTATCTGTAGTCTTGTGACTTCATATCCCTCTTCTGCGGACGAAGAACAACTCAACAGATGTGTCCAGGCATTTTCAGCCTTGTCATACAGCTACAAGCACTTGCAGCCGATTCAGGGATGTCTCCCTGCTGGACTCTTGAGGCCACATCCACACTACCGTTCTGGGGTGCCCCCTTCCCGGATGACTAGCCTCAAAAGAAATTCTCACGTATATTTATTTGAACAGCCAACTTGTAGGGTCAGTTGAGATGGTAGAAGAAAGTCCCTTTTGTTCAGATACGCGTGCAGGGGCCCATCTCTGAAAAACTGAAGGTAGCTGACGTTGAGGGCTGTCGTTCTTTCTCACTACCTTCAGAATTGGATCAAGTGGGCCAGAGGCCCCACGCAGTGGTCGCTGTCTTCTGAGAGGGTTGATATGCGAGCAGGAAGGCTTGTGCCGGCGGCGCTTGCTGCCACAGCTGTGGCTGTAGAGCACTCCAGTGGCAGAAACCTGGCCCTGGCTTGGGTGTGAGCTCTTACCAAAGCACAGGATTGTGATTCTTGGCTGTAGCTTAGCATGAGTTAAGTTCTCGCCGTAAAATCTATGCAAAAGGGACTTGTTGTGCTCAGGTGTGTCCTCCTGAGCCTCGTCTTTAGGCATTATAACTGCCATTAATCGATGGAAGACATGATTCCGTGCCCGTGTCGCGCTTAAAATGGAGAAGCGCTCTCCTGGTAATCTGTGTTAAGGCCGTACTGCGTGTTGTTATCTCCCTTTTCACTGTGATTGTGACACCTTCTCATCCGTATCATGATCTTCTCTGTCATTCACTGAGATAAACGGGAATGTCTCTTCCCCAGGAATTTTCAGCAGTCGGGGGACAATGTATAGGAGGCATTCACTGCACTCACCGCGTAAGCACAGACCTTGGCTCTTTTCGGGTCCACACATGGTTGCTTCAGACATTTCCTCATGTTCATGAGGACAGCCAACCCTTGGCCTCTTGCAAGCAAGTTTGCCATGAATGACACCAGTTCTCATGTCTTTTGCAGAAGACAGTGTCCACGGTCAGAGGAAGAGGCGCGGGGTTACCACCCAAACAAGTGTCTGAGACGCAAAAGGGAGGTGCTATGGTACGACCTGGCCAATGCTTGCTCAGAGAGAAGAGCTTCCTATGCAAGTCTTCCTCTGTGTATCGATAAGCAACCTCCTGCTGCCATCTTTTTGATCAGCCGAGTGTGACTGTTGTTGCTGGCCAGTCGTCATCCGACTAACCATCATCTTCGAAGACAAAAAAACTATGTACGTTCTTCCCAACTCATTGCACTGACGCACGCTCCTCCCCATGGTAGGTAATGATACTCTGCTCTCTTGTTAGGGGTTAGCCAAAGCAGTGCCTGCCATGCTTATTGGAGCCTTACGTACTCTTACCTGAATGTCCCACTCATCACTGCCCTTCTCTCTGTTCTGCTTTTGCATTATTCATATTTTCTCTCGCTAATTATCTTCAATCCAGGGATGTAATGAAAAATTAAGGTCCTCTTATTGATGAAATTCACTTTTTACGTCGCCAACCAAAACATGACTTCCTTGAACGCGTCCGGCAGCGAGTGGGACTATAGACGAAACTTCCTTTCTTGCCCTATGGAGACCCTCTTACCTTATATCTCAGTTTTTAGTTTCTCTTTTGCCGAGCGTGCCTCCAATATTTGATCTGATCTTTTCAGTTTCTCTCTCACCTTCTTCGAGCACTTTGCCCCCTATGATGCTGTTGCCCCTGAAACACACAAATACTTTGCTATATTATCTATAATGGATTTTTAGTAAGATTTTAATGAGTTAGTTAATCAAATTAATGTCGTTTATGGGAGAATAAATAGTTGATGAATTGTCCTTCAAATAATCTAAACTTTTCTAATAAGTCGTATCAGCCTAAACTTCCAACTGATCTAACCTGCGAAGCGCGCTTTTAGGCCTGATTTTCAGGAGCGCCAAGCGGGTCTACGGTGGGTGTCTGACTGACTAGGCAAAGCAGCTTGCCCTGTCTCGGTGGGCTGGTGACTTCTGCGCCTCTCTCCATTTCTGTTCTTTTTGCACCCACTTTCGCTCTCCCACTTAAGCTCATGACACCTCTCTTCGTTCCAGCCTCTCCTGTCTTTTTCCATTTTCGTCCCTCTGCTTTTCTACAAGTACTTTCTTCTCTGCTCCGGAGTCAGTATCAGACGTTTCCCGATATGTTCCTTGCCGGTATCTCAGCTCCTTTTGAGCTCATTCCTTGAAAAAGACAATTCAAAACTGGCTTCCCTTACACTACTTCTTAATTGGCGGGTCCAGGTAAATAGCGTTGCCTTATCAAACTAGGCTTGCTGATACGTGAAATTGGAAAAAACAAAAAAGTCCCATATGTGCTCCCACTTATGTATAGCATGTATCCTGTTGACTAAAATGTGTGCTAATAGCTATTACTAATTATTACATCACATTATCAGCATGTGGCCATTAAACTATGTGCCATGTCCTTCCTGCTCGACGACCACCTGCTCCATTGAAATAATTAGAAATTCAAAACAGTCAGACATGAGTTCTGAGTCTGAGAGCTGGTTTGATAGAATGATCTAGCTTTTACTCCTGGTTGACAAGTATTGCGCATTGCCCATTGGCCTGGTGCATCATATGTAATTATGTTCTGGTTTTCTGCCCCCAATCCTTTGTCCAGCCTATTGCCGACCAGCGTGGGAGTAGAGGATGCCACCTGTCAGAACGGTCTACCTGTAATCAAGAGTTTTTCTCGAGAGCAGCTTCATGTTGTTAATCTTCACGATGACGAGGTATCAAAATAGATATTGGTGATTGATACAGACCTTGTAAAACAACAGGATGACTGTGTCAGGGCCGGCATGCTCTTGTCTTTGCAAGCTTCCCGATTACTCTTCGATGCTGTTACCAAGAAAAAAGTATGTGTAAAAGCACACCTACACCTGCAGCCGTTTCATTCTCATGGACCCAATCCTTATGTTAGGATGAGGTTTGGATGTGTGATTTTTGTTATTTGAAAAACTAAGTTGATACAATGTCGGTCTTTAGGATTTTGTCGCTGATTGAGCTTAAACCCTGGATCAGAGTCCCTTGGTTTAGTGGAGCAGGGCGGTTGATGCTTCAATAAATATTATCCCTGGCTGCCCTATATCCCCCCCGACTCGGCACTGCTTTATTTTCCTAGAGTGTTGTACTAATGATGTTTCATGGTGCCTTTAATCTTCAATGTACAACCCATATATCAGTCCAAATGCTACTAATTTGTTTGCCAATACTTTTGACTCTCCAAGCAATGCTGAAAAAATAACTAATTAACTGAGCACGTTATCAAGCATGAATTGATCCTTCCTGCTTTATGCATCTGAAATCGATGTATATTTCTTCATGTCAAACAT